AAAATAATCAGTTTTTTGAAAATGAAGAAAACATTGAGGAAGACTCCAGATTTCCCATGGTGCTCAGCAAAGAGGAATAGGGGGCACATCAGGGCCACTTCCTCTTTTGAGCACCCATCGAGGTGACACTTCTGTTTTTCTCTCATTAGTATGCATCATAATGGCTTCACAAAGAGCTTTGCTTGTTGTTTATCTTGTGAGTCTTGTTTATGTGCGCAGTGCCAAATGCCTGGGCAGGGAAGGTGATGTTGGGAGAGGGAGATGGGGGGGGGCACGCCCCAGTCTGCCCAGACCCTGAAGCTTCCTTATATTCACGGTGACCGGGTGTAAACTCTGCCCCAAACCCCCCCAGGGGCGAGCAGAACCTGGGAAAAATAATCTTTTATTTGATCAACTATTTAAGAAATAAAAAAGAAAGAAAAGAAACAGCTTCTTTAAGTGCTGACAGCCTTTTTAACCAACTTCACAAAAAATGTACAGAAAAAAAATAAGAACCATATTGTACAGATATATGTGACCAGCACTCCTGAGGAAATTATTAAGCAATGAGGAGACATTGAACAACGCTGTACTATAACATTTTCTGTAATGAAATGAAACTGATGAAAGAGACTAAGATAATAAAAATCCTTGATGATTATGTAAAAAAAAAAAGTTCTTGTTGGGTTTCCTTTTTTAATAAAATATATCTCAAGAAAAAGCTGTGATTTTCTTCTTTCGTGCTAAAAGTTCTGTGGATGGTGCAGAAGCCTGAACGATAGACAACTGCATGAATTTTGAATGAATGAGTGACGGCTGTAGTTTTTTTACAAAGGGGTATTTTTGCAGATTAAAGAGGGTTTGTAGTTTTTCTTTAAAACCTTCATTTTAGCACAGTTCACATTTGCTTTATTTATTAAATGCATGTGAGCTGTAATAANAACGCTTCAAATTCGAATTAACAGCTAAAATGCTAAAAATAAAACTCTGTTAAAATGTCTTGTCCCGAGCTCTTGTCACCACCACACTCAGGTTAGAATTAAAAAGAAAACTTCCTGATGTACTTTTGCAGTTTATACAATGTCACACGGAAGATTTCATGTTTTAAACTTTAGATGTGATAAAAATAAATATACAGGCGATGCAAAGGAGACAAACGAGCGGTCAGTGGCGGAGCAGTGAGTGATCTTGCCGAGATATTTGTTCTTTGACAGGAGAAAGCTGACCCGGAAGTAATACGCACGGTCCATGGCGTGCGATGGGCGGTTATTTTCATCTTGATGTGTTGGATTTGATGTTTCCGGGTCCAGATCTGCTCTTATAGGTTTTTATACTTCCAGTCTGTGAGTTGTTTTCATGACAGACTTCTGCTGCAAGGTAAAAACCACTCGATCGCCCGCGGCGCTGTTGTTTCCTGTGGTGGTTGTGTCAAGGTCTCAGTGCATGTCCTCTAGTCGCTGCAGCTGCTGCATCTCCTGCATGTTTCTGTTCAGTGACATCGTGTCACAGTGTTCAGTGTGCAGATACTGATGGGCTCACAGTGTTAGGATCAAATACTGTATCAAGAATGATGTGTCACAATTAAAGTACATACATACATACATCAACTCAAGTTGCTTGTTTCTCCTTCATGCATTTCAGTTCTACTTGTTACACAAAGAGCATTCACCTAACAGCTCTTTGCTTTCCTTATTCGTAAATCTTAATTTAATCTTATATTCAAACAATGTGACACAAAGACACACAAGTGAAAACATAAAAAAAACACAACTTAAATTAAAACACAGTCATGAAAGAGTTGATTCAGGAATAAGAACACAAACAAACATAATTTAAGACCAACAATAAGAAAAACTAAAATTATGAAAATCATGGAATGCAAAATGGGCCTGCTGTATAACCTGAGGTATTTTACAGGCATATTAAGTTGTTTATTGTATATATCATAATATAGTAATCTGTAAGGGAACCTTCTGCTCAACTAGTACATTTTGTTTCCAGTACTTTTAATCAAGTACAATTTTAAATGCAGGCCTTTCACTTGTAATTGAGTAAATCAATAGTCCTACTGTGGTGTTGCTACTTTTACCTAAAACACTTTGAATACTAGAGAAATAATCTGAATAAATACAAATGAAATGATCCCTTGGGTCAATATTTCAGGCTTTTACCATTAAACACAATCTGACGGTTAATTGACCTAATATCACAACACAAATGGTGAATGATTTCTGTTTGCAGTGTTGACGAGTGTCTGAGGTTGTGGAGACATGGTGGGCTTCGACCCCGGGGCTCCGGGAGCAGCTCTCCCCCCAGAGGAGGCAGCTCTGGCCGGGTCAGCTGCTGGGATGGTAACTCGAGCCCTCATCAGCCCGTTAGACGTCATTAAAATCAGGTTTCAGGTAATGGATGTAGCTGAGTGCTCTCTGTGGTTAGTTCAGTGCTGTAGGACGAGAGGGTTGTTTAAATCAGAGCAAAATGCAGTGCATCGTTCCCTGTGACCAGATCTCTGTGATAATGATATTTCATATTAATAGATTACGGTAGATGATGAAACAGATCTCTTAAATTGTACTAAGTGGTGGTTGGGCTCTAAACTTCTAAACCACACACGTACAGGTAAAGTGCAGCACAAAACTCACATATGTTGCTAATGGTGCATTTATTTGACAGATCGGCTTTGCATTAAAACCTTAGTTTAGTAGTAATTGTCAGAAAGGTCTAATGTTGTGTTGACGATCCTGTGTGTTTATCAGTGTTCCTCTCTTCCACCAGCTGCAGATTGAGCGCGTGTCTTCACAGAGGCCGGAGGGGAAGTACAGGGGATTGTTTCAGGCGTCTCGCTGCATTCACTCGGAGGAGGGTCTCTCTGCCTTCTGGAAGGGCCACATCCCGGCGCAGCTCCTCTCCATCTGCTTCGGGGCTGTGCAGGTGGATCCTGTCGACTGCACGCTCACACAAAATGATCCTCATAACTGCATCACATGTGTTTATGCATTTGTGTCTGCGTGCTTTGCAGTTTGCCAGCTTTGAGCTCCTGACTGAGGCGGTCCACAAGTCAACGCCGTATGACAGCCAAACAGCAGGAGTTCACTTTGTGTGTGGCGGCCTGGCTGCCTGCTCTGCCACAGTGGTCTGCCAACCTCTGGACATACTGCGGACACGCTTTGCAGCTCAGGGAGAACCCAAGGTGGGACACGCATCTAGTGTAGCTATCAGGGAGTATCTATCATGGTAGATTTTATAAGGGCAACTCGAAGTCATAGCTTTTATTTATTATTTCGATGAGATTCTATTTTAAAATGAACACAATAGACCCTCTGTTCGTTTCAATGAAAGGCAGTGTGAATGTGTTTGGGGGAAAACTGCCTGAACTGAAATGCAGTAAAGTTTGTCTTAGAGGAGACGTATAACATTCATGTTCAGGTTTATAGTTTTAATTTAGGTTATTACTTGAGTTCACTCTAATGTTCAGAAAACACATCAGTTTCACATCACAGTGCTGCAGCTCCTCTTTTCAGCCTCTGTCTGAAACACTTGGTTTTAGCTCCTGTCTCTTTAAGCCCCCCCTCCTGATTGGCCAGATGTGTTGTGATTGGTCAACTACTTCCAACAAGTGTATGATGTTGCTTTACCTCGCTTTGTCAGGGGGCAAAGTTACACAGCTATGATGTTAAATTATTATTATATTTTTAATTATTTCAGTTAATTATCGTTTTTTACTGCTTTGATAGTTGGATTTTCTCTCAGGTTTACAGGAACATGCGACAAGCCGTGTCTACAATGTGCCGCTCAGAGGGATATCTGACTTTTTACCGCGGCCTGTCTCCAACACTCATGGCTGTGTTTCCTTACGCTGGGCTGCAGTTCTTCTTCTACAACGTCTTTAAAAATCTCTTGGCTCCGCCGCCCAAATCTGGAAACTCGGGAGGTCAGTGGAGCTCAAACTTCTACGTCCTGCACATTAGAGCGCAGGCATGCAGCGTCTGACTTTTTCACGTCCTTTCCAGGGAGCCTGAGGAGCCTGGTCTCTGGCAGTGGAGCCGGAATGATCAGCAAAGCAATCACTTACCCGTTTGACCTCTTCAAGAAGAGGCTGCAGGTGGGGGGCTTCGAAGCAGCCAGGGTTCACTTTGGACAGGTGAGCTCTTCTACAGCAAGCTGCCTGTTTCTGAACTTCACATTCTGATCATTGCCTCCTGTGTCTCACATGCAGGTGCGGAGTTACAGAGGCCTGGTGGACTGCATGGTCCAAATAGCCAAAGAGGAGGGCGTGCGAGGCTTCTTTAAAGGCCTCTCACCCAGCCTCGTGAAGGCAGCGCTGTCCACAGGCTTCACCTTTTTCTGGTATGAAATGTTCCTCAATGTCATGCAGGACCTCAGGCAGAGACGGAGAACAGACGACCTCACCAAAGACCTCGAGGAAAGATAATAAGTTGAAAATGTAACTAGGGCAGAATCACGCACATCGCAGACGCACTTCCTGTATGCCTTGCTCTTTGCACTGAGATGTAACTGGGTCGATGTTTGGTTGTGGTTTATCGTGTTTACATGTAAGAACGGAAGAAGCGTGACCTCATCTTACCTGTTTTTGTGCTGTCATTGCACTTTGTGTTGTACAAGCTTTGGATTTTCCTTTTTTAAATGTATTTAATATTTTATTCTGGGGTCTTTTAGGGTTTATGTATGCTTGTTCTGAACATTACCACAACTTTTCCATCGCTGACACTGACTTTTCCTGACATTCACTCATTAAACTGGGGGAAGCGTATCCAGCAAAACACGCTCTGGGCTTGTGTGGTGGCAAAGAAGAAGACACAAACATTGAATATTCATGTGTTGTGGTGTATTCTCTTGAGTATAGGCCACTGCTCTGCTTATTCAGAGTTCAGCTCTTAAAAAGGGATCATGTTTGTGCCGACAATAACTTTCAGGTCATTATTTTTAAAAATAAAGGTTTAAAGTTTTAAAAAAGACGCCACGTGAATGTTCATCTCTGATTTTATTTCATTCCTTTTTCTTTATTACTCTTCTTCTTAATTCCATTCATATAAACAGTAGCAACAAAGATCTCTTACACACGCATAGATACACCAGTATTTAATTTAATTCAATTTACTGAATACAAAATCCATCAACAGTATGACTCAAAATGAATAAAACAGTAAAACAACATACAAACTACATGAACCAGTCTGAGAACTCAGTTAAAACACAACATCAAGTATGAGGCCGAGAAAACAAAACACTTCCACAAATATTTAAAAAGCAGCTTTTGCTGTAAAATCATGCAATAACATACAGAACGTCGTTTACGGACACTGGCTGACAGAACTCACTGTAATAAATAAACACTTGCAGAGGAAGAGAGACTTCAGATGATAGTCCTGTCCTTTAAAATACACATTTCATAGCAGCATCACTAAATATGAAGCACTGACATTTTACTGGTTATTTATTGTTCGTACTGTTTTCTATATACACAAGAACACACAACCACCTCACGCCTGACTGTGGAAATCCTAACACTCAACTGATACAGTGGCCAAAAAAACGTCCCCACCACATAAACAGATGTCAAACCACACGCTCCAGTGAACGGGGCCGGAGACTCGAATCCAAATATGTGAAGTTTATGTACAGTGACCGAATCTCGACGTATCTCGTGTGTTCCCGTGGGATTAAAACGTTTTCAGGAATCTGCGCTACACTCGATCTGACTAATTGAACTCCACACTGTCTGATTCATAGCGCTGGCTGTTTTCTGAGGAGAAGGGGGGAAGAATGAGGAGCCTCCCAGCTGCTTTGACTCTCAATAGGACGCACTATACCTTTAGACCTCGCAGGCCTTTTTGCTGTAGTGATCAGGCAGCCTGTCTGTACCTGTGCAGCCTAAGAGCTGTTGGCTTTGCTGTAACACCAGGACAGTGAAAAGTTATCCTTCACGTCAGCTGGCTGCGGGGGGGTTGCTGTGGGATGTGCTGGGCAGGCATCCTCCACTGATCCACAGGTCAAGGGTGTTAGAGTTCACCGCTGCCACAGCCCTGCTCTCATTCTGGCTGCGGACTGGAGTTCCAGGAGAAAAAGCTGGGCAGTTTGAAGATTGAATCCCTGCGCCCTGGATCAGGCAGCGTGAGGGTCTCTGGAGCGGACTTCTTCCTGGGACGGTCCTTTGGCAGCGACAGGAACTCGGGGGCTTCGGTGGAGAGGGGAGTGGACGGGGCGCTGTTAGGGCCGCTGCGGGTGCTGGACGGCAGGGGGGTCTCAGATATGGAGATGGCAGGGGGGAAGGAGCCGATCTTGAGGTTGGTGGCCTCCTGTGTGGCGCGCTCATACTCTCTCACTTCCTCCATGGTCATGTCTGATGGGATGGAAGAGTTACAGACTTAGAAAAAGAGAAGATCCACTAAAATCTGATCAGTTCAAATTCAGACAAAGAGAAGTGTTTGAAAAAATACTGGATGCTTGTTTTCTGCAGTGAAACTTTGCTGAATCTCCTCTTTTTAAACTATATATTTTCTATATGATTCAATTTCTTGGAAACACCAAAGCAGTAATGGTCATCTTCACTCTGACTTTAAATTAATCTAGAATCTACATGAATCCAGGGACCAGAAAGATCGGATCTAGAAAGATCAGATGATTCAAACTGAGCGGTTCAACTTCAGACTTTTCTACTTCTGAATGTCTTTCTCAAGACGCAAACATCAAACTGCCACCTTGAGATTTGGGAGTTACAGAAAGAACAATGGTTAATGAGCACTGTGTTTGCATTCGCTAAGAAGACACTTACTGATCCACTCATCCACCCAGGCAAACGCCTGCCTATGTCCTAACAGCAGGACATCTCGAATCACCTGAGAAGAGTTAGACAAAAAAAGAGAAGCATAAGAGGCAAGAACATGGAGGAAGAAAGGCAGAGATGGACAAAGGCAGGAAGGAGAGAGGATGTGACTCAGAATTTAACTCTGAAGGCCAAAAAGATTTTCATTTAAGTTCTAGATGTTTGTGTTCACCCCCGGAGGACTGTGATTAATATGACTCACTTCTGGTGCTACCATGTGAGTAATGGCCCTGCCTGTTTGTGTGTGTGTGTGGGGGCTAGTAGAGGACAGGGACAGGTCCCCCCCGAGGGACAGACGCTGCAGAGGGCTAGGTGAAATGGATTTAGGAAATAGGGGATAAGAAGTATAAACTCCGGAGCCGAGGTAAGGAGAGCAGGAGCAAGGCAATCTGCGGAGTGTGAACAGGGCAGATGTTGTCTCACTTGGTTCATGATCAGCAGATCTTGAATCTCAGAGCAGGAAATAAAAATGCCTCTGGCACTGACACCGATAAACATGAGGAAAAAAAGTTTGACTGAGGGAGGAGAGGGTATCTACACGTCGCCATCACAAAACAATAAAAACACACATTTATCCTGACCTTGTGTACAAACTGCTCCACACGCGTTTGAAGGCCCCAGACCTCAAACTTCACTGTGACCAGTTTGTAGGAGCACATGATGGGGTCCTGCGTGTCGATCCATCCTTCCTGCAGGAGGCCGCGGTTTGTATTCTTTGATTTGAAATAGCGCAGGTCCTACACCACGTCGAAGAAAAATAAGTCTCTTGTCATTATTCCTCATAAACTTTGCGCACACGCACACACACACACACACACACACACACACACACACACACACACACATAGCATCACCTGCATTCATTAAGAGCCTCATGCAGAGGGCAGCTAGGCAGCACAGTGGGAGCCCCTAACCACCACTGCTCCCTATACACTAATTATACTGTAGTGCTCATTTGTCTTGGGGTCATGTGTCTGACTTTGTGTGGGGGAGATACACAGTTGGCTGAGCACTTGCAATTGAGGTGATGGACGCCCGCTGCATTTGACTGCACATGAAATGGTGAATGGTCTGTATTTAATTTTTTACCTAAAGGTTCAGGAAGACAAAGAGGGAAAAATATGAAGGACACTAACGAGAGCTTGGTCCGTTTGAGACACATCTCTAATGAATATGTATATACAGTATGTGAATATACAATGATGTGAACAGGCAGCTTTTGACTGATCGTTCAGATTTTAAGTTTCCTCACAAAATACAACAATGGAGATCTTAAATTTACCGCCAACGACACAAGCCCAAAATGATTGATAACAAAATGAAATTAAAATGAAATGCATTGTTAGAAAAGATCATCCAAATCCGCACCAAAATTTAACGGGTTCTTCCCTGACTCATACTACACTCTTCTACCAAGTATTGTTTTCCCAGAAAATAATTCATGGATCTGATGAGAAAATTCAGGAACATTTATGGACAGTTGGGCCTTGATGGAGTTATACTTCTTACTAGTTGTCTTAACTTTTTGGGGAATTCTCTTTCTTGTGGACACAACGTGCCTATGTTTTGGCAGCAGCAGCTTTGAGAGCCCTGAAACACTTCCTTGTTTGTTATTCACCCCCTGTCTTATTTAAAATGGATGATATCTCCACCAATAACAGTGGTTCATTCACGTTTGACAGTGAACCCTGCTGTGCAGTTAAGTGTGACTCTAGATCCATTTGTCTTTAAATCGAACGATATTTAAATCAGCTGTGTGACATCCACTTTCAGCTGTGGACGGCACCTCTGTGCTATTCTTAGCACAGAGTCGATAAAAGCAGAAGACCATAAAGCTCAGAGGGAGGCGTGTGCATGCATGTGTGTTTGTGTGTGTAAGTTGTGTATGTGTGTGTATATGTGTGTAAGAAGGGGTGTCAATAATGAAACACCACTGCAGTGCTGTCATGACCTCTCTTGATTATTAATAGCTTTGATTTTTATGACCACAACATCCTGATAGACAGGCTTACACACACACACACACACACACACACACAC